CCCCAGATGTTGCTGGTTTTTCTTGTTTTTATCATTTTGATTGTTGCAGGCTGTCTCTGTGCTAAGGATCAACATAAAGTGTAAACTTAACGTCTTTTTAGGTCTTTTCTGAGCCTGTGACTTCCCCTGAGCAAATACCACGACTTTTTAATTTTCTCCAAATATATGGTAGCTTTTGAACCTGCTAGTCTTCAGTGTCTACCTCTCAAAAGGAGAACATAGAAAAATGAAGGGAGAAAGGGTGCCAGCCTTTTAAATCTCCTGGAAGTCACTTCAACCAGAGGGAGAAGGACTTGCAATGATGGCGGCAGTTGCAACAACAATGTCTGTGTCAACAGATTTTGAAAGGTCTACATTATACAAGATACCTTTTCAGACCACAAGAGAGTAAAGTTAGAAATCAGTAACAAGAACATTTAAAAAATCACAAATTTGTGGGAATTAAATACCTTGTTAAATAACCAAGGATCAAAGAAGAAATCACAAGGGAAATTATAAAATACTTAGAGATGAATGGTAATGAAAACATACATTTAAAGACTTGTGGGACACTGAAAGCAGTGCAAAGGGGAAGACCCCTGACTATACATGCTTACCTTAAAAAAGAAAGATCTCAAACAGGAACTTAACTTTACAATGTAAGGAACTAGAAAAAGAACAAATGAAACTCCAAGCTAGCAGAGAGAAGGCAACAATAAAGATCAGAGCAAAGATAAACAAAACAGAGAATAGAGAAAATAAATTACAACAAAAGTTGGTTCTTTGAAAAGATCAACAGAATTCACCAGCCTTTAGCTAGATGGACTGGAAAAAAAGAAGAAAATCAAATTACCAAAACTGAGTGAAAGTGGCAACACTGCTACCAATTCTACAGAAATAAAAAACACTGTAAGACTGTACTATGAGCAACTACACACCAACAATTTGAATAACACAGATAAAATGAAAAAATTTCCAGAAACACAAAACCTATCAAGACAAAATCATGAAGAAATAGAAAATCTGAACAGACTTATGGAGATTGAATCAATAATCAAAAATCTCCTGACAAAGAACCTTGGACCTGATGGCTGCACTGGTGAATTCTACAAAACACATAAAGAACTAACACCAAACCCTCTAAAATTTTTTCAAAAAACCTGAAGAGAAGGGAACACTATTGAACTCACTCTTGTGAGGCTACCATTACTCTGATACCAAAGCCAGACAAAGATATTGCAAGAGAAGAAAACTACAATTCCTTATGAAAATTGATTCAAAAATCCTAAAGAAAATACTACTAATAGTAAACTAAATTCAGTATCATTTGATACAATTAAATGGAATTTAGTGAATTGACCAAATGGAATTTATTTCTGGAATGCAAGGATAGTTCAACATACAAAAAAATCAATCAGTGTAATACACATTAACAGAATGAAGGAGGAAAAAAAAGCTCTCACATGGTCATTGCAGTTGATGCAGAGAAAGCATATGACAAAATTCAGTAGCTTCTCATGACAGAAACATACAACAAATTAGGAACAGAAGGAAACTACCTCAACATAATAAAAGCCATATTACATGAAAAGGTCACAGTTAACATCATACTCAGTGGTGAAAGACTGAAAGCTTTTCCTCTAAGGTCAGAAATGCAGAAAGGATGCCTACTTTCACTACTTCCGTTAACACTATGCTGAAGTTCTAGCCAGAGCAATTGGGCAAGAAAAAGAAATAAAAGGCGTTCAAATTGGAAAGAAAGAAGTAAGTTGTCTCTGTTCACTGATGATTTGACCTTATATGTAGAAAACCCTAAGAATTCCACAAAACTGTTATAACAAATAAACAAATTCAGCAAAATAGCAGAATACATAGTCAACACATAAAAATCAGTTGTATTTCTATTTGCTAACAATGAATAATCCAAAGGAAATTAAGAAAACAATTCTATTTACTATAGTATAAAAAAGAATAAAATACTTAAAAATTGACTTAGGAGGTGAAAGACCTGTACGATGAAAACTACAAAATATTTCTGAAAGAAATTGAAGGAGACATTAAAAAAGATATCCTTGTTCATAGATTGAAAGACTTAATATTATTAAGATGTCAATATCACCCAAATCCCAAATATGGAATCTTAAGGGACCCCGAATAGCCAAAACAAACAACAAACAAACAAAAATCAACAAAAATCCTTAAAGAAAAGAACAAAGCTGGAGGACTCACATCTCCTAATTTCAAAACGTACTACGAAGCTGCAGTCATCAACAGTGAGACACTGGCGTAAAGACAGACGTGTAGACCAACGGAATCAAATAGAGCCCAGAAAGAAACCCTTGGACATATGACTTTCAACCAGGCTGCCAAGACCGTTAATAAAGACAGTCTTTTCCACAAATGGTGCCGAGAAAACTAGATATCCACATGCAAAAGAATGAAGTTAGACCCTTACCTAATACCACACATAAAAATTAACTCAAAATGGATCCATGACCCAGATCTTTAGGTTTTAAGACCTAAAACTTTAAAACCCTTAAACGAAAACATGGGGCAACACCCTCATGACGTTGGTTTGAGTGATGATTTCTTGGATATGATGAGAAGGGCACAGGCAACAAAAGAAAAAATAGATAAACTGGATTACACCAACATTTAAAAACAGTTTTTGCATCTATCTAGTGAAAGGACACCATCAACCCATCAACAGAGTAAAAAGACAACCCAGAGAATGAGAGAAAATATCTAATGTGTATCTAATAAGACATTAATATCCAGAATATATAAAGAGTTCCTAAAATTCAACAGCAAAAACAATTGACCTGATTCAGAAATGGGTCAAGGACTTAAACAGGTATTTCTCCCAAGAGATATATAAATGGCCGATAAGCACATGAAAAGATGCTCAGTGTCACTAATCATGAGGGAAATACAAGTCAAAACCACAATAAGATACCACCTCACCCACTGGGATGGTTAACATTAAAAAAAAAAAAATCCCAGAAAATGACACCTGTTGGTGCGGATGTGGAGAAACTGGACCTGGGTGCCCTGCTGGTGGGAAACCAAAATGTGCAGCCACTGTGGGAAACAGTGAGGCAATTCCTCAAAAATATTAAAAAATCGAATGATCCACAATTCCACTTCTGGGTACACACTGAAAAGAACCAAAAGCAGGATCTGGAAGAAGAATCCGTATGCCTGTCTTCACAGCTGCGTCATTCATGGTAGCAACCCACGTGTCCAGGGACAGATGACTATGGATACACAATAGGTACACCCATGCAGTAGAATATTACGCAGCGTTAAAAAGGAAGGAAGTGATAACATATGTTACAGCGTGGACGAATCTGGAGGCCATTACGCCAAGTGAAATAAGCCAGTGATAAGAGGAGAAATTTCATACTTTTTCATTCCTATGAGTCACCTAAGTGGCCAAATTCATGGAAACAGTGGCATGGTGGCTGCCAGCGGCTGCGGGAAGGAGCGATGGGACTTGGTGCTCCATGGGCTTCAGTTTGACAAGAACGTCCATTAGGAACACGAGGAAATTGACGCTAACACGGTCAGTGATTAAACAGCCCAAATAACCTTGAGCTGCACAAAAACCAAGACGTGCAGAAAAACCGCAACGAGGCATCATTCCTCATCCGTGAAGCGGGAGAAGAAAGTGCTCCTATCCGTTGCGGAGGCAGGTTCCTCGGCACTTCTGGGACGCGCCTCCGAGGTTTCCGCCCTCCGGACCCAGAGTCCGCACCCTGGGAGCTGGACTCCCTCGGCCTCTGCCCCTGCAGCCTGCACTGCGGGCCGGGCTGGGCCGCTGGGCGGGGCTGGGGTTCGGATCCTGGGCGGCCCGGGCAGCCCCGTCCAGCGAGCGCCCCGAGGGCTGCGCAGGGCCTTCCATGGGCAGCGCCGGGACCCCTGCTTGTTGAGGGGGGCCCGCGCCGGGCCCCGACTTTGCACAGCGTGAGAGGCCGCAGGAGGCAGCAAGTCAGCGTGCAGGGCAGTGTTTAAACCAAAGCATCTCACTGGGCACTTTTTCTTTCTTTCTTTTTTCCGGGCAATGGCGCGACCTTGGCTCAATGCTCGGCGCTCCCAGAGCGCTGGGATAACAGGCGGGAGCCACCGCGCCCGGCCCGGCCTTCCTTAAAATCATCGCCAGAGTGGACGCGTGCGGGGCCTCCGAGCCGGAAGAAGAAGGGAACTCGCGCACCGCAGGCCCCTCCGCTCCCTGTACCGACCCCACAGGGCAGGTCCTGGTCCAGGGAGGGTCCCGGCGGGCTCAGCCGGGGGGGGCACCGCTCACAGGCAGCGATCCCCGGGCCCGGGGCGCTGGGCTGGGGGTTCCACCACCGCCCCCCGCGGAGCCCCAGGGCGGGTGTGGGCGGCCGGGGGGGGGGGACTGGGGTCGCTGTCAGCCCGGGTCCCGCCTCGCGGTGGAGCCGCCCCCATCCGCGGTCTCTCCGGGGCCTGAGTCTCTCCCCGGCCTAGGGGCTCCCATCGGGGAGGGCGCGGCGATGGGGCGTCGGCTCCACCCGCGTTCGCGTCCCCGCCCTCCCCGTCCCGCCCTCGGGCACCCAAGGCCCTCCTGCCCCCACCCCCCGACGCTTCCCTCCGGACCCGGGAGAGGCCCTGCGCCCCGGGAGGTCCCGCTCAGCTGGGCGTCTTCCCCGCGGGCGGGAGCTGGACGCAGGCCCTGGGGAGGCGCGCGGTGCCGGGGTCCTCCGGGGAGCGGGGGTCCCAGCATGGAGCTTGGGCGCGGAGAAGAACCCCCCACCCCGTCCAGGCGGGCTCCGCCCCAGAAGAGGCCGCGGGGAGGTGGCCCCGGGTGCCGGCCGAGGGTTCGGACCCGGAGACGCGGGGCCGCCAGGGCGGGGAGGAGCCCGAACCCCCGCGCGCCGTCCCTGGGGCCGGAGTCCCCTTCCCGGGGCCCGAGGGACGCAGCCGTCGCCTTCCCGAGACTCGGGGTCGCCGCCGCGGGCCCAGCGGCTTCCAGGCTGGGGGCTTCGGGACGCGCTCACCTGGTCCCGAGGAGGCTCCGGTCCGGACGGCCCGGGGCGCGGGCGCGAGGAAGCAGGAGGGAGGGGACCGGGCCGCGGCCGCCCCCTTTATACCCGCCCCGCCCGCCGGGCCCGGCCCGACCCGACACCAGGAGGCGCTGCGGCCCCGCAGATGGGATGGGCGGGGCGAGGGGGGACCTTCGAGGACGCGAGGCGGGGGCGGGGCGGGGGGCGGCGCGGCGGGGACCCCTCGGCAGCCCGGGCCAAGCCCCCTCCCCATCCCCTGCCCGCCGCGGGCGCTGCTCGGACTTCACGTCCCCGCCCCGTTTCCCGGGCGACCTGGCGGGGCTGTGTCACCTCCGGGGCTCTGGGTGTTGGGGACCGCGCCCCCGACGCCGGACCGAGGGGGCCCTAGGACTCGCCCTCCGTAGGAGCTGCCTGGGGGCGGGGTGCGGGCTTCCTCCCGCACCCCGTGTGGCCCCCGGCGAGAGGCCCCTGGTCAACAGCCGCTGCAGAAACTGCTGCTCCCGGGGGCCTGAGGCGGGGGGAGCCAGAGCGGCAGGGACAGCAGAGTCTGGGCGCGGGTTCGGGCAGGGCCCGGGCATGCGGTGACCACCCCTGCCAGCCTTTTCCACAGGGGTGCCTGTGCTGGGCCCTGGGACCACCGTGAGGTCCCCAACTGAGCCCAGCAGGGGACAGAGTGAGAGGGGTCCCTGGTAGGGCTGTGTCTGGGATCCCCACTCCCCACCCTGGTCACAGTCCAGCAGCCAGGGCCAGGGCTCCTCCTGGAGGGGAGGTGAAGGCTGGGCTGGGGAGAGGACCCTGGGCTCTGGGAGGGGGCGGAGCAGTTTGGGGTGAGGCCCTCCTTCGGATGAGCAGGTTTGCAAATGGCTGCTTTAGCCCCTTCCCCGGAGGAGAGGGTTCCTGAGCTGCCCAGTGGCCCTTGTGGATGCCCCCTGGTCTTCAGGGCCTTCTCTCTCTGCTCCAGAGGACAGGCCCTTGCTCATCTGTCTTCTTTCCTGGTGGATGGTAGGGTGGCTGGGGTGGGAGTCTGTGGCGGTGTCTTGTGCTCCCAGTGTGGCCAGGCGGTGGGAACTTCCCAGTGTAGGGAGGGGAAAGCCACCGTCCACCAGATGCCCTTGAGCTCATCCCCAAATGGCCCTGCCTGGCGTCCACAGGGCCTGCAAAGTCCACCCCGGCCCCAGCCTGGGAGCTAATGGCCTCCAGTCTGTCCTGGTGTCTGGACTTGGGCTAGACCACCTCACAGCTCCTGCCAGCTGTGCCTGCACCACCTTTTATGGCCCACACCTCCCACGGCAGCACATCTGTCCTCTGCCACCCGCAGCGGGCCCTTGAGTGGGTGGTGTGAGTGTGCAAGTGAGTGTGTGTCCTGCGTGAGTGTGTGGTGTGGTGTGTGTCTGCATCTGTGTGTGTGTCCTGTGTGAGTGAGCGTGTGGTGTGGTGTGTGTCTGCATCTAAGTGTGAGCGTGTGTGCATCTGTGAGTGTGTGGTTTGGTGTGTGTCTGCATCTGAGTGTGAGTGTGTCCTGTGTGAGTGCGTGGTGTGGTGTGTGTCCTGTGTGAGTGTGTGGTGTGGTGTGTCTGCATCTAAGTGTGAGTGTGTGTGCATCTGTGAATGTGTGTGGTGTGTGTCTGAGACTGAGTACAACTGTGTGGTGTGTGTCTGCATCTGAGTGTGTGCATCTGTGAGTGTGAGGTGTGGTGTGTGTCTGCATCTGAGTGTGTGCATCTGTGAGTGTGAGGTGTGGTGCGTGTCTGCATCTGTGTGTGTGCATCTGTGTGAGGTGTGGTGTGTGTCTGCATCTGAGTGTGAGTGAGTGTGTGGTGTGGTGTGTGTCCTGTGTGAGTGTGTGGTGTGGTGTGTGTCCTGCGTGAGTGAGTGTGTGGTGTGGTGTGTGTCTGCATCTGTGTGTGTGTCCTGCATGAGTGAGTGTGTGGTGTGGTGTGTGTCTGCATTTGTGTGTGTGTCCTGTGTGAGTGAGCATGTGGTGTGGTGTGTGTCTGCATCTGTGTGTGTGTCCTGTGTGAGTGAGCGTGTGGTGTGGTGTGTGTCTGCATCTAAGTGTGAGCGTGTGTGCATCTGTGAGTGTGTGGTTTGGTGTGTGTCTGCATCTGAGTGTGAGTGTGTCCTGTGTGAGTGCGTGGTGTGGTGTGTGTCCTGTGTGAGTGTGTGGTGTGGTGTGTCTGCATCTAAGTGTGAGTGTGTGTGCATCTGTGAATGTGTGTGGTGTGTGTCTGAGACTGAGTACAACTGTGTGGTGTGTGTCTGCATCTGAGTGTGTGCATCTGTGAGTGTGAGGTGTGGTGTGTGTCTGCATCTGAGTGTGTGTGCATCTGTGAGTGTGAGGTGTGGTGCGTGTCTGCATCTGTGTGTGTGCATCTGTGTGAGGTGTGGTGTGTGTCTGCATCTGAGTGTGAGTGAGTGTGTGGTGTGGTGTGTGTCCTGTGTGAGTGAGTGTGTATCTGTGAGTGTGTGGTGTGGTGTGTGAGACTGAGTACAAGTGTGTGGTGTGTGTCTGCATCTGAGTGAGTGTGTGTGTGCATCTCATCTGTGTGTGTGATATGTGTCTGCACCTGTGTGCATCTGTGAGCGTGTAGTGTGTGTCTGCATCTGAGTGTGAGTGAGTGTATGCATCTGTGAGTGTGTGGTGTGGTGTGTGTCTGCATCTGAGTGTGTATGCATCTGTGTGTGTGGTGTGTGTCTGTATCTGAGTGGGAGTGTGTGCTGTGTGTTTGTGTCTGAGGCTGAGTGTAAGTGTGCGTGTCTGTGTCTAAGTGTGCCTGAGTGTGGCAGCCACGTGGTGGCTCTTACTGCCTCCTTGTGTAAGGAGGGTTCCCTTCTGTGTGTCCCACTCGGGTGGGGCTGGCGTTCTAGCCTTGCTGGTGGGTTCGGGCCTGCTTCCCCTCATCACGCCCTTCTCAGTGTTCTCATTTTGAGACTGAAGTTGGGTGATTGCTCTTTTTCTGAGTGGTGGGTGCAGCAGGCTGCGGAGGGGCACTGGGGTAGTCCGGCCTCAACCGGGGTTCCCAGGACCCGAGGCCCCAGTCTGGCCCTGAGCCGGCTGCAGGCTGCCCCAAGGACACCATCCCTCAGCACCACAAAGGGCACTGCTGAGGTTGGTGGCCAGTGCTCAGGGCACCTCCAGGCATGGTTCTTAACTACCAAGCTCATGCCAAGGTCACATGACTGTGAGTTTTGGGCTGCGTTCCATCCTGTTTGTGGGGAGATCGTGGGAGGGGAGCAACATGGGTGTGTGTTCACGCTTAGGGGCTAACTGGGAGCTACAGTAAGACACATGCATGCCTTTAGAGAAGGGACTTTATCTGGGCTGTGGGTGCTCACGGGCCTGGCCTGGAGGAGGAGGAAGTCGTGCTGCTCCTTTTCCGCCCATGCGTTCCCAGGCTGAGGCAGGCCTTAAGTGGCTCTGTGTGGAGAAGCTCTTCATGGCCTTCTCACACTCCGGACACCACGTGGGCCACTCGGGGCGGGGTGTTGCTCTCGGGTTTGCAGCCTTTTACTCACGGACATTTGAGAAGATGCCTCTGCAGTCAGACTTTCCCCTGCTTACTCACGGAGCCGGCAGACAGTATAACGTTCTCCGCAGCCACTTGATCACAGCTCTATCCAGGGACAACTCAGAAGAAAATGAGAAATGGCAAAAGCGCCATTCACGGGCAGTTGGACATGAGTCAGTTTGTGTCACAGGGTGCGTGTTCAGAGTCGGTGGCAGATCCTCGGGCTTTTATTGATTAAGCCAGAGTCACCACGTAGTAACCTCAGCAGTTTCCTCGGCTGCTGAGAACGTTATTTTCGCCTTTTGGTTTCACCATAACGAAGGGTGCTGGAGAACGTGGCATGGACCACAGCTGACATTTTCCATGGAAACCAGGACCAGAGGCAGTGTGCTCGGGGCCCGGTTGGGGTGACACCAGGTAGCAGGAAATTCGGGGGACAAAGGCTGCGAGTGAGAGCCTCATCGGTCCTGCACCCAGGAGGAGCCAGGGGAGCCTGCCCTGTCCCACAGAGAGGAGACCGAGGCTCCCGGAGGAGGACAAGTGGCCGGGAAGAAAATTGCTGGCCTTTTATCTCCCAGTCCGGGGTGGTGTGTTTCCCCTCCCCACCTTGGAGGTTATGTAAACGACGTGGGATTCGATTATAAATACTTCAAAATATTTGTGCCTGAATAAAACCTCCCTCTTAAGCAGCCGTGCAGTGCTAACTGAAGGGGTCACACGAACGTCATGCAGCTCGGTTCCCTGCTGGCTCAGGAAGGTCACAGTAACAAACACTTTGGTGGTGGACACGACCTGTCGTGACATGAGAATGCCAGGTAAGCACAGCATGGGGCTTCTCACCGTGGGTCCAACCCAGAGTGTAGTGCCACAAGTCCCCAAAGTCTGAACAAAACTCTGTCTTCTTCCTGGGAAGAAGACCCGGAGATTTAATTAGATTCTCAGAGGTACATGTGACTCCAAAGACAACGCACAGTTTCAAAGAACTGTAGTGCAACAAAGCACACACAATTCATGTTAAGCAAAGTTCAGTTTTTCTCTGATGACTTAGGGGGTCCAGAGTTGTCACTGCCACCAGTAATTCCATGATCATCTCTACCACCACCATCACTACCACCACCATCATTGCCATCACCACCACCATCTCTACCACCACTGCCATCACCTCCACCAACCACCACCACCATCACCACCATCACCTCCACCAACCATCACCACCACCACCACCACCATCACCTCCACCAACCATCACCACCACCACCACCACCATCACCACCATCACCTCCACCAACCATCACCACCACCACCGCCATCACCTCCACCAACCACCACCACCATCACCACCATCACCTCCACCAACCATCACCACCACCACCACCACCACCGCCATCACCTCCACCAACCATCACCACCACCACCGCCATCACCTCCACCAACCACCACCACCACCACCACCATCACCTCCACCAACCACCACCACCACCACCGCCATCACCTCCACCAACCACCACCACCATCACCACCATCACCTCCACCAACCATCACCACCACCACCACCACCACCACCATCACCTCCACCAACCATCACCACCACCACCGCCATCACCTCCACCAACCACCATCACCACCACCACCATC